ATAAACCCATAACCCCACGCTAACTCCAGGAGAGAGTCACCCCATCCTCCAGGTGACAGAGCTGTGTGTCCGAGATGCTGCCAGGCCCCTTCTCTGTAAGCAAGTCCATGTATGTATGTATGTGTAGAGGATACATACACACCACAGATTCAGCCCTCACTCAGTTCTGCTTTTAATTCTCACATGTGCTTTCTGTTAGACATTCTTTCTATAGAAGGAAAATTAAAGCAAGAGTTATGTGATTGAGGTTAACAGCAAAGAAAAGCAAGAGGAAAGAATTCTCCCACTTCCCTCTGGTTTGCACATGAATATCGAATGTGTTGCTACATTGGAAGAAAAAATTCTAGATAGTCTATCTAGCTACGTCTTTGGTCGCGTGTCATGCCCCAGCCAGTTGAGAGTTATTCCACTGTGGTGCCAAGGATGACACGAAACCACCATTCTTTCTGTGGACTGAAGGGACAGGCTAGCTGCTGCCATCGGCACTCACATTCAGTGCGAAAACGTTGCTGCAAACACGCTCGTCTCAACTTTTTGTCTTAGTCCTTCATACTCATGAATGTCTATTCACCGAGAGCCACTTTCAAAATGGCTTTTACAGACAGACACTGGAGAAACCTTCAAACTCATCCATTTTGCTAATTAGGACCCAGTTTCATGAAACTTGGTGTCTCAGGGCTCTGACTGGGTCTATTAAAAACAAAAAAGGAGGAAATGGCAACAGAGAGCAAAGGAAAGTTAAGCGTGAAGGAAATGGGAAAAGATGAATTCCCATTAATTATGCTGCAGGCACATTTAATACTCATCATAACCACATAAGATGGATATATGTATCCCTATATAGAGGCAATGTGAAGTTTATGAAGATTCCAGACGCAGCTCAAGGTCAGAGCTAGCGAATGCCTCAGCTGGGACTCAAAGCCAAGCTGAGCCTCCCTGTGCTGAACTATCTGCTCCTGCCTTCATTTTTCTCTCTGAAAAGTCAGAGATCGCCAAAAAGTCCACGATTTCTGGTGCCCACCACTCTTTTAAAATTTTCAATCATTAAAAGCCCAAGGGAGTGAAATTTTTGCTTGGTATCCCCAAATATCTAGCAGCTCCATATTTAAACAGAGGATACCATCCTTTTAAAACAGTGCCTCCAAAGACGTCTGGCCCCCGGCTCCTGGCTCCCATTTGAGGTTGTTCAGTGGGGATCCCGTAACGGATATAAACAGCACTGACTAATCCTCAAGGCTCCTGGCTGAGTGGCCACTGATGCAGCTGAGGTTTGATGACACTATCACAGGAAGCATTGGAACCAGCTAACAAGTGCCGTGCTGCTTAGAATGATGGTTTCTTCACAGAGGAAGTAAAACTGTCCCCATTAAAAGTATTTCACACGTTACTTTGATTCATCACGTAACTTGCCATGTGGCGATTACTTGTTTACGTGCCTGGCTTTCCATCTGGCGTGCTGGCTGCCCTGCAGAACCGGGACCACGACTTAGTCATCTCTGTGTCCCCACAGCATGCCACAGTGTTGGCACTCCATCATATTTTAGTAAATGGATGTCGGTTATCTGCTGCTGCAAAACAAACCACTCCAAAATTTGTGGCTTAGGGCAACAACTGTTTAGTAGGCTCACAATTCTGCGGGTCAGCACTTTGGGCAGATACAGCTGGGCGGTTCTTCTGGTTCCATCCAGCCCGACTCCCTCAGGAGAACGTGGTTAGCTGTGTCCAGCTGAGCAGTTCTGTTTCTGAGCGTGGCAGCCCACACGTGTCTCCCCCTCTCCCCGCACTCTGGACTGATTCTGTTCCCGTGGCATGACAGGGATGCGAGAGCAAGTGAGAGAAACAGAAGCATGTGAAACAGAGCGTCTTACAGCCTAGCCTCAGAACTGGCACGCTGTGTCTTCCGTCACAGTCTGCTGGATGAATCAAGACACGATGACCTGGATTAAGAGCATGGGGAGATAGACCACCTCCTGAATGAAAGGGCAGCAACATCACATGGCAATGGATGCAGGCTGAGTAGAGAATCGGGGACATTTTTCCCCACCTATCACAAAATATTTGTCATGAATGAAATGCACAGCATTTTATCAAATTATGATACATGACCTATTTTCGTATTAAAAATTAATGCCCCCTTCATGAATAGCTTACTTTCTAACCCAGAAAAAGGAGATAGAGGTTGCCAACCGCCAACACAAGATTCTACAGGCAGCAAAGGCCAGAACGTAACTCAAAAGGGTTGATGCTCCAAATTAGAACACTGAAGTTCATGGCTTTTGTTTTGGTTTGGTTTTTTTTCCCTTGGAAGAAGGGGAGTCTCCTGTCCCAGTGTCTGCACAGATTGAAATGAACAGGGCCGGTTCTCTGTTTCACCCCGAAAGGCAGCGTTAGATGGTTTGGTGAAAAGAACATGTTTTGAAGTCAGACTGAGTTTCAAATTCTGGCTTCTACATGTTCTAGTCTTGTGACCTGGTATGATTTAACTCATTCTTCTGAGTTGGTTTCTTTGCAAGATGGAGACTGATAATAACAAGTATGCACAACCGTTATGATTATTCAATGAGATGGTGTAAGCACAACACTTAATAAAGTGTCAGACACAACACAGGTCACAAATAAACATTAGTCCCCTTCATACCTTTCTTCCTGTAGCCTCTGCACGGCTGGAGGACCTCCCCCTAAATCCAGGATAGGAAGACACTTCTTGAAACATCATTCTTGGGAACATTCAAATCCAGTGGTAAACGCCAGGCCTCACTTTTACTGGAAGTTAGAGTAAGTCAAGAAATTTAACTGAAGGGCAATTTAAACAAGTATTTCATATAAAAATATATATGTCAATTCATGTCTGGCAGGTGTCTCATTAACAAAGCATGTGGCTTCAAAGAAACTCAACGAACACGAGTCCCTTTAAGGCTACACTGTGCGTCTGTCCCTGCAGCTGAAGGGGTGGTGGAGGGAAAAGCTGCAGAAACAGCAGCGCAGGGGGGATACCTACCCAGGGCCCAGCTTGCCACGCGGGATGCTCCGGGACGCTCGCTCATTTCTCTATTTCCACACCTGCAATTGAAGAAAATTCCCTCTGTTTGTGCCTCCATTCCTGGTCCTTCATTCCTGAAAAGAAAACTGCCTGACAGCACATTCCCCTTCGTTCATGTTCCATCTTCCCGCTGAACCTCCCCCACGTCCTCACTCACACCCAGTACTTCTCCCCCCTTTTCCCACGTTCCAGACAATTCCAGTGTGATTTGTTCAGCCTTTAGATAAGTCTGACTACACGACGACTGCTCATAAAAGAGCCTGATGGAAGGGGGATCAGCCACAGTCTGTGATGACTTCTCCCGCCTAGCAGGGCTCCAGCTTTCCAACATGCCGTTTATCTCTTGGCGGTCACCTTCGTATGTCACTAACATCCAGTCCAAACTCCCAGACATCAGTGCAGATCCATCTCAATAACTGCGATCGCCACTGACGTGGCGTGCAGCAAGTCCTGTCCTTTCGACACAATGAGGTCACCAGAGACTAAAAGAACTGGACGACTAATACCGTTTTAAATCCATTCACAGAGACACCTGTCCAGAGCAAAGAGGTTCTGAAATCAGACAGAAAGGCAGCAGGGGTCGGGCGGTGGCTAGAGCTCTGAGCCAGGAAGCCAGGCTGACCTGATTCACGTTCTGCCCCCTACACCACTGATGAGCTGTGCGGCTTCAAGAAGTAAGTTCATTTCTCTTTGCCTCAGTATCCTCACTTATGCAATGCAGATAATAATGCAATTTACCTTACAAGACTATTGTGGGGATTCAAAGTGTTAGCTGGGTAAAATGTTTCAGAGGTGCTGGCGTATGCAAAGGTTTGCTTTTCATGAATATCTGCAATTCCGATTCGGTTGATTGCTGTGTGACCTTGGGCAGGTAAGCAAACCTTTTTGAGTCTCAGTTTACAAATGGAGGTAAGGATATCTGCCTCAAAGGGTGGCTGTAAGAATTCAAGGTATGGTAAGTGATTAGCATGACAATCAGAGAGTAATGGCTGATATTTTTAGAAATAGCAAGAATCACCATTACCATGAAGTCAATAAGCAAGATAATGATTGCCTGAGGCAGATGAGGAGTTACTTTAAATATCACATCACATTCACAAATTAAGTCTTAGGAATCTATTGTGTAGAAGGACAAACAGGAGAAATGAGAGCATTGGAGATGACCAACTGGAACTGAGTCACTAAATCCACCACTTAGCAGGAAAAAGACACATTACTTGACTTCTCTTTGTTTCTTTTTCCTCATCGGAAAGACTGGAAAAATACCACCTACCTTGCAAGACTGTTGTAGGATTAAATGGGATACTGCGTAAAGCACTTGGCACGTTGCTACAGCTCAGTGAACGGCCGCTACTCTAAATCAAAGGTCTAAGACAGAAAAAAATGACCTGTAATTTTTATTAATATGAAGTGAATTAAGGAAAAAAAAACACCTCATGATTTATCCTTGTGAGCTTGGCTCCAGCTAAGTTAATGAAGATGGAAGAGAGAAGAGAAATGGGGGTGAGAGGGACTAAGTACACAGAGTGGGCAGGGAGTTTCGCTGAGGTTAGCTATAAGGAATTTGTGGTTTGATTCAAAAGACTTCAGCTTTATGAGGTTTGAGGGCCTTTTTCAAAAGGGAAACCAGATGTATCAATGGAAAGTTCATGCAAACAGTGCTATCTTCAGCAAATGCTGCTTTGAATCTAATTATGTTATACAGGGCAGGGGTGCCGTGGAGAGGGACCCTGGGATGTTTTTAAAAACTCATTTGATCCTGTTTTGTAGACCTTCAGTGATGTTATCAAATGCGTCATGAGACCAGTACTTTGTAAGCAAAATCCCCCAGAACCAAGAACAGAGGAATGATTACAATATAGCCCCGAAAGCGGTGGTGTTTCCCATCTCAGGCTCCTGCTTTAAATCCTTGAAGAAAACCAGGCTTTCTTCCCTAGGAGTCCAGCATGTTCAGGCCCAAGGCTTTCCCAGCACAGAAAACAGGTACGAGTTGCTTCCTAAAGCCCCTCAGTCACTTTCTTCCAAGTCCCAGAGGTAAAGGGGAAACCTGAGACAATTCACAGTGCTTAAGTTAAATTTCTTTGGCACCTAAACTGCAAAGACAGTAAATTTTCTACTGAGTTTACGAGGATTAATTGGCAGGCCTCATGAAAAGGCCTGGAATGCTTTAAAATATATAAGGAAAAGCCGTCTCAAGATTACCAGGACAAATGCACATAACCATGATGTGGGCACTTACTGTAAGGTGTGGTGAGTAAACCCGAAGGCCAGGACCCTGGGGGGAGGGAGCGCAAGGACATTAGCAGGAAAAGTGAGAGGTACACAGTGAGTGCAGATGACGTGAGGATGATGAGGACCGGGTGAGCCAACATTGGGCATGTGCTGGGCTGTTTTTTAATGGGGCCCTAGACATACTTGTTGGGACAAGAGTTGATTTTTAAAGAGGCCGCATGGAGGTCGAAAGCCAGAGGAGAGCAGTCAGGGACCAAGGCTAAATTCTTATATCCTCAAGTCCATTCTTCTGCCACCACTTTCAAGGATCAAAGCTGTTGTGACTGTTTCCTTCACCTTACTCGAAAGCAGTTTAGGGAAAGGGCAAGAGTAAACGAAATGACAGAGAGCAGGCAATGTGGCATGGTGATCAAGAAGACTGACTCTGAAATCAGACAGCCTGAGATATCAACCACAGCAGAGTTCTGAATGGGTATTTTTTGGTTCTAAAGCACATGCTCTTAGCTAATTAACTCTGCGAATATCCATAGGTAAAGTGTCCTAACTCTGCTGACCCAAGTAATACGTATAGAAACCTCCTCTTCTCTATCCTGGCTCTAGAAATGATCAGAATAAGAAATCTGATATTTCCATTTGCGGTCAGGAGTTCACTGAGCAGTGTTTTAAGTCAACAAAGGATACGGTCCAAACCAGGTTCATATTACGGTCCATTCTGCATATCCAAACAGGGTTGCCCAACCTTGAGCATGACTCATTTGCTGAAGCAGATATAGTATCACCTCTGACTCAGTCACGGGGAAATAGGTCAGAGCCATTTCCTTAAATGGTCCTAAGTAATTGGGAGAGGGGGGGAGGAGAGCATCTCCAACCCCATGGATGCCAGCTGCCTTGGCCTCAAATCTTCAGTCAGCTCCCTATGTCCTTGTTCATCGACTACAAGGATATTGAAGTGGTCTCTAAATTTCAGATCTACTTGTAGCCAAGATTGGTAACTTTGCTACATATCCATTCTCCAGTTCCAGTAGAGAAACACAAAACCTGGTTTTTATGTGGGCCCATGTTTGGCCATGTAAAGATCACGTTTTTCAATCTTCTTTGTAGCTGGATATGAACCCGTGGCTAATTCCTGATGGGTGGGGTAAAACTGAAGTGCCTTGTGCAAGCTTCTGAGACTCTTCTTTAAAGAGAATGTTGAAGCCGTCCTGCATGGTTTGACTATTTGTGTCCACCCAATGTCCGTATGTTGAAATCTTAACACCCAATGTGATGCTATTAGGAGGTGATTAGATAATGAGAGTATAGCCTTCATGAATGAGATTAATTCTCTTGTAAAGGAGACTCCACAGAGCTCCCCACCCCTTACGCAATGCGAGAACACGGCGAGAGGTCAACAGTCTACAACCTGGACGAGGGCTGGAAGCCCACCGTGTTGGCACCTTGATTTTAGACTTCCTGCATCCAGAACTGTGCGAAATAAGTGTCTGTCGTTTACCAGGCATCCACCCTCTGACACTTTGGTATAGCAGCCTGGATGAACTAAGACAATTCCCACAGTTATCTTCTCATCACTGCTCCTATTTTGCCACCTGGACTATGAGTTTGGAATATGAATTTAAAGGCCACATGAGGATGGTTGGAAAGACTAAGATTTCCTGAGAAAAGCCGCTCCAGCAGTCCTGGACTATTTAACTCTAGACTTTCACACGAAAAAACAAACTTCAACTGTCTTAAAACCAGTATTAATTTGGAATTTTCCATTACGCGCAGTCAAGCCTAATCCTAAGTAAGAGGTCAATCATGTCACTCTTTGCTCAAGGCCCACCCATGGTTCCCAACTGACCTCAGAGAAAATTCCAACTCCCGTAGCCAAACAGTCGAGGTCCTGATAATCTGTATTTTTTAAAAACTACGTATTTTAAGCTTCCCATCTATGTTTTAACAATCCAGAAATACCTAGTGATCTGCATTTCTCTAAGTAAACTCACAGTTTATCCTGTTTCCATCTCTTTCCACATATTGTCAATGTCTGCTTTCAGTGTCACCCTCACTTGTTTCACAGAAAAGGGCCATTCTTCTCTGACAAACCATCTCTTATTTCTTGGGCAAACCCGTGCACGCCTTCTGCTCTATTCCAGGTGTACCTAATCAGTCATCCCTTTAACCATCACTTCAACACAAACCGAGTCTGTTCATATTTCTGACTCCACCATTAGACTGTCTTCTAGAGGGATGCAATCGTGTCATATGCATCTTTGAAGCCACGTATGCTGCTGGGCACAAAATGATGCTCAGAAAATTCCTGTTAAGTGTAGAAATGTTGATTACCCAGCCGTCTCCCAGTACCAATCAATCGAATGCCTCAATATGCCTTTATTGATTTCTTTAAAGGAAGACTTTGTAAAATGGAAAAAAACAACAAGTTTCAACTGTAGAGCACAAGGAGCTACATTCAGTATCTTGTAGTGACCTATAATGAACAATATGAGAACGAATATATGTATGTACATGTATGACTGAAGCATTATGCTAAACTCCAGAAGTTGACACAACATTGTAAGCTGACTATACGTCAATGAAAAAGAATGCAAATCTTAAAATAGGAAGACTTTGGAGTCCATCTTGATGAGAATCTAGGCTGTGCCTCTTACAAGCCCTATGGCTCTGGGCAACTCTCTTTCTAAGGATCAGTCTCCTCTTCTGCAAAACAGAAGGAAAGGCCTCCTCCATGTATTTGAGCATCTTTACGTATAATCCAGACAGAACATAGAACATCTAATAATAACGCTCACTGAATGGCACTAGTTATCATATTCTTTAGAAAAGTTTACTCAGGTAAGAAAAGTCACCCCAAAAGCCAACAGGATGCAAAACGGAAGAGACGGCACGGGGAGAAGCCCACAGAAGGCCAGTGGCACAGGCAGCCTATGCGATGGAATGAGTGCTGAATATTCTGATCTTGAAGAGAGCCCCGTCTCAGCCACTTGGCTGCTGTGAGATCAGGAGGAAGTCGCCCCCATCCCCCAGGCCTTAGTTATCCCACGTGTGCAGTGTTGAGAGTACTCAGATGGTATCACAGGACCAGTCTGAGTGTCTCTGATAACTATGAGCAGCTCTTCCTTTGGCCCAATTTCACCATTCTGATGCCATCGAACCATATAAATTTTGCCCTTAGATGGACTGCTCTGAGCAGTCTCCCCACACCCCACACCCCCTACTCACCCCCTGCTTTATGAGAAGCAGGATGAGTTGGTTGCATCTTCAGACTTTGGCCTGATGAAGTCTGTTTGTGCAGAGTGGGTGATTGGTTTCGCATGGCCGCACGATTCAGCAGCTGGAGACATCTGTTTGCATTCAGACACAGGCAAACTTTCCACAGTCAGGAGTCAGCGTGCTCCTGGCTGAGCAGGGGTTGGCCCCTCCGGGCTGCATAAGTGTAGGCGTTAGACTGGGGTCTTGGATTCACAGGTCAGGAAGAACAACCTAGACATGAAACAACAGAGGTAAGAATCGGCACTCTGGTATCTCTGGATGTATAAACTGCCTATGGAAATGGGGCAGCTGGACAGGAAGCATCCTATTACACTGACGGGAATGATTAAAGGAGACACTGGAGGATGCTTTGTTCCCAGAGGGAGGTCCGGGCCTTGGCGATATCCACCCACATAGAAAGCGATGGCTACCTCAGAAATAGCCTCAGCATGCGGCCCCTGCTCGTCATGGGACAGGGCCGTCCAATAAGACACCTCCCTGCAGTCCACTGCAGCAGACACATCGCGTGCTCAGGGGAAGGAGCGCTGACCTTGGGATCATCTGGCCTAGGTCTGTCTTCTGACTCTCCCATTCACTCTGCGTATCCTTGGGCAAGTCAGGCTGGTTCTCTAAGCAGGAGCTACTTCGTCCCCAAAAGGAGGCTGCTTGGGATGAAATAAGATGCTCCATGGTAGTGTTTTGTCTCATGTGAAATATTATCCGGATGTCAGGAACTGTTGCTACTATCTAAAGAATATCTCAAGGTTGTAAAAGCAGAAGTAAATACATCTTATTCTGCCAGCCACAGTAGAAGTCATTCTGTGGGTCCTCTGAGAGATGGCTGTCTATTTTTCATATCAATGTCTCATCTCCAGGGACAGGTGGCCACAGCCTTGCAGAAAAGTCAGTTCTGTGGTCTGGGAGCTGTGGTGGTCAGGAAGTCCTGCCAAAGCCCTTCATTGTCCCAGCATGGGAGCCTCCTGGTCTGCTTTCTCTCCTCTGGAGCCACGGGAACAAATGTACTTCCTCTTTCACATGAAACACCTGGAAATATTTGGAAACAGCAAGAGGAGAGAAAAGGCATAGTGCGGTCAAGCAGACCTGGGTTCATGTCCTACTTTTCTATTCTTCATCTGTGTGACCTTGAGAGTGAATGCAATCAACCTCAGTGTTCCCTTCTGTGAAGGGGGACAGCATAGCTGAACAGTGAGGGGGTGGCAAAGCTTAAGTCAGATGATGTATGGAGAGCCTGACACTGTGCCGTAGCTTACAGTAGTAGGTCCCCAGTAAAGAACTATTAAGCTGTTGCTCTATTGCTGTGAGTGACCTACTTTTGCTCTCATCACTGGTATTCCTTGTATTTAAACACACTGGATTCACTAAATGTTCAGATGGGCCTCCCATGGCTTGGTTTGGGTCATTAGCAAACCAACATTTTGCACCTTTGCTAAAGTGCATCTTCTCTGTCCCAGGCACTGTGCCAGGAACTGCTGAGTATTCAAAACAGAGGAGTTCCAAACAGAGTGAGAAATCACGTTAGACCAGGGCCATGTGTCCAGAGTAACACGTAGCATGGAAGTACAATAGAGAACTTTTTGTTTTTGAAGGGTTTTTTTCCATTTCCTTTTAAAATTACCTGCAAGATTTTATGTTGGGATTTGCTTGATCTAGATAAGGTCTGTGAAAGAGCAACTCACACCATTTGGACCAACATACAAAGAATTAAGTAGCTTCCTCACACTCTATAACCTGCCATCATTTACTCTAGGCCTCTCTCCCCTGAGAGAAGCCTTGCAAAAAAAAATGCCACATAATAACAATTATTTCATAAGAGACCGATGCAACTCCCCAAAGGTTGGCCAGATACTTTCAATTTAAAATATGGTCATGGTTCCTCACAGCTATGAGCATCTAATCCAAGTGGTCACCAGACTGGTCACCAGACCAGTGGTCATATAACATTGCCTGTGAATCCTTCTGAGCTCACAGCCGACCACTCTTCCCCAGCTATCCCCACCCTCAGCACCTGACCGAATACGCAGGCTAGACTCCAGCTATGCCAGCTTCCTGCAGTCCCCTGAGTAAGCCTTGCTCTTCTACCCCTCTGTGCCTGTGCACAGGCTCATAGAATTTCCTTCTCCCGGAAGCCTTCTCACCTCCTCAGCCTGCATGATTCCCACACATTCTTCTTCAAGGATGAACACCATCACTGATGTTTGTGAGAAAGTATCCCCAAGCCCCCTCCTCCTTTCGCCCAATGCCAAAGCATCTGATCCCTGCCACCATCCTGCATTTCTCTACTTTTAAGGGGATAATGTCCTGTTTGCTTCTTGGTCACTAGAGTGCGAGTTTCTTGGGAACAGAGGTCATGGCTTATTCATCTCTGTGTCATTGACAATATTCCCTAAATAACTTCTGGGTGGATGGACAGAAGCGTGGACAGATGCACAGGCAACTTCCAGAACAACAGGTCAAAGGAACATCATCATTCTTCTCTGAATCATAATTGCATAAAACCCAGTAAATCACCAAGCACCCTCTGAAGTACCTTGGCTGGAGCCATAAAGAAACCCAAGATGGTTGGAATTGATCTGTGAATTGTCAGATTTAATACCGAATAGATTACTCCACTTGACAGCCATAACAAAGAATAATTATGCCTTTTAATTTTTCATTCATGTCTAGACATTCTAAAAAATCAGCATGACAAATGGTCCTTTGCCACTCACCTTATACTATAACAGCTAATCCTAATCATGTTCAGAATTCTGCTCTGTATTAAATTTTCCAAGCAACAGTAATTCAATTAGGAAAAAAAAGAGAGAACAAAAAGTAGAGAGTGGAGTATGGCTTAATCTCCAGTCTTTTATGGGGATACAGTGCAGTTGTCAGATCCAACGGTAACTGAACTCCAACATTTGGTCTTCGCATGAATTCCTACCGGCTGTTGCTGGTAATCTCCCTCCCTCTTTTATAGAAGTCTGTTCTTGAATGAGCCAAAAGAATGTTCTACTGAAAATGCCATAACTGTCCCTCCAGGTGTAACTGATTCCTGGTGTGCAGACACCAAAGGTTGCATTTCTTTACGTCCCAAACACATGTGAACTTCCATCTGGCTAGGTCCTTTCTTTCTGTGAACACTGCCTCCATGACTCTCCAAACCTAGCAAAATTTCATTAACATGAAGCCTCCAATTCCTCCTTGTTTATAGAACCTAAGCTGACTTTTTCCTGGCTCTGATCTGGGGAAACATTTGACCCCCCCACACACACACATCTCCACACACACACGTCATAATGTGTGTCAAACTACTCCATGAGGACAACCATGGTCTCCTGTACTTTGAAAATGCAAATTACAAAGCTCTCTTAACTGTAGAGTTGATGGCTGCTTCCTCATGAATTCACACCTTTGCTCAAGGAGGTATCCTCATTTAAAGAGACTCCCTTCCGTCCATATACCTATTCCCTGCTTTAGTTTGCATCATTGTACTTATGGGGAAAAAAGGTCTATGAGAATGAGAAGCTTGACAGTTGTGTTCATTGTCACATACCTAGAGTCTAGAACTCCTGGCACATGGCTGCTGATGGAGAGAGGGAGAGAGACAGAAAGAGAGAGAGGAATCCCCACCTAGCGCTTCTGTGCTTTTGTTCTTGTAAGCTGTGTGGCCATACAAAGGAGACTCAGTGCCTCTGTGACTCAGTTTCCTCATCTCATTCCCTCCCCCAGAACCCACAGGACTCTGCACTGTGTGCCAGGAGGAGAGGATGGACTCAGAGAGGAGATCTGAATGTCCCTGGTCAATCTGGCCCCTCCTGACCTCATCAGCCTAACATCTTAACACACCCTCCACCATCACCAATCACATGGACCTTCCTTCAGCTTCTGGAGCAAGCCGCATCTTGCCCACTTCGGAGCTTGGTCTGGGACAGGCTTAACTCTTGTAACCTGGCAAACCCATCAGACAAAAAGATCCTTCCTTCTGATTCCTATCTGAAGACTGCCATTTCCTCATTATTCTCTTTCTCATCACTTTGTAGCAGAGTCATTTTGTGGTTAATGTTTTCTCCCCATAAGACTGTAAGCACCAGGATAGGAACTTTTTTGGATCCCAAGGGCCTAGAACCACACCTGGAACATAATAAACCCTCAATAAATATGTTGATAATAAATGTTTTTGAAGATGATCACAACTACCCCATAAAACTGCCTGAAAGTTTAAACAAATCATTTAGAGTAGAAGAAACCACAGAGGTAGCATCCATGAAAAGAAAATTTCTCAGCCTTGTGGCCATAACACAGCACAGTGTGTGCTCCATAAATGCCAGTTGTTGTAAATTAACTATTTTGTTATTATTACCATCTCTTCATAAATGTCTCTGGCTACATTTAGCTATTTAGCTCAGATATTCATATCTGAAATTTTAAATATTGTGTTAAAAATGAAGTTTTGCTATTTTTGACTTTGATTCCTATTGACAAAAGCCATTTTTCCTGATCCAGACTGTATAATGGAGTAGTTGAATAAGACCCACACTCTTAAGATTTGACTTGAATTCAATGACTTAACCCTTTACTCTGTTCTATGTTGAAATAAGTTTGCGTCAGGCAGTTAAGATCTGAACTAGCTTTTCTATTCCAAATTAGTAATAAATATTACAAGGAACAGCCCCCCTCTCACACCCTCATCTGAGGAAGCATCAGATCAGACAAGAAGGCAGAAGCAGCCTGTGAAAGATGTCCCTGGGTCTTTGTCACCGCTCCGGCTGCTGGGATACGTGTGCTGGTCTGAATCCCACGCTGCAGCACCCCCGTGGTCCTGGCTGCCCGCGCGTGAGCCCTGCCTGTGCTCTCTGGCCAGACACTGACTTGGCCCAGCCGCTTTGCTTCCCTGACTCATCGGGTCTGACACCCGGCAGCGCAGACCCATGTGCTGACCCCAGAAGGTAAGAGGAAACTGATTTGCTGCCAGGAGAGACCTTTGCCTCTGCATGCCCCTGGGACAGGCTCAGAGAGATCTGAATGTCCCTCTAATTTCACCAGTTCGCATTTGACGGCATCAGCCTTTCCACCATCAGGCCAGCTCGCAGAGTTTTATAAGCAAGTTGTAAAATGGAGTCAAGTCTGAAGCCTGACGTCCTGTATCTCTGCCTCCCTGGAATGTAACTGGTTTCCAAACTTAGAGAGGGGAGGGCATGATGGAGGGAAGCCATTGAGCAGTTTAAAACTAATCAAAAAGGGAAAGATATGAAAATGTGCTTTCTTTATAAAATGTGACTTCACGTATACAATTAACTAGTCCCCCATCTGTGAACAGCTCAGTCACTAAGGTCCCTCGGGTCGCACCTTGGTCCCCACTGTGTCTGTCTCTCCTCTAATAGAATGAGAAGATCAGAGCCTTCCAGTGCTGCAACCCTGTGTTCCAGGACCTGAAAAATGTCTTAGGAAAATACAATTAATTACTAGCTCTGATGCTCAGTGTTTAAACAGGACAAAGAACACAAATGAAAAAACACAGGAGTATTTGTAGATCTAGAATTAGCCACCAAACCATTTCATCAAAAGGCTTTAATATGTTTACCTTCTATCCGGTTTGAAAGTTTTGTCACCCAATACTCATAAAAATTCTGCTTCACTTGGTAGACAGTCACCAGACTCCAAGCATTCCTGCACATTAAAATATATCTTTCTCTCTTTAGTACTGGAAAAATCCAAGACGTACAAAGCGCGGAAGTAGTTTTTTTATAGGAATTGAAAAACATCATACAGCCAAGTTGGGAAGTAGGGACTGGGGAGTCAGCCAAGGAGTTGAAGAGACTGGGATATATGTGAGTCCATCTGAACACTACATTTGAGCATCTGGGGGGGCCGGAGCATTGTTTGGGGTGCACTCGAAATCACATGGGTGTGAGAACGTGTGCACGTGTGTGTGTGTGTGTGTGTGCACCTGCACATGTGTGTGTGCTCTTTCCTTTGGAAAACTGCAGATTCGACCTCTGAGCTAAGAGAGCCTCCAGATGTAAAGGCAGCTGCTTCTCTGGCCT